TGCTTTGTAAACTGGGATCTCACATCCTTGGAAGATTCTACCAAAACAACCATGTAATGATCTGTAATAAGGGAAGATATGAATTTGAACTCTACTCTGGGACTAATGTGTGAGAAGTCATTTCATTAGATCACTTATTCACTAAGTAAACAGTAGTTCCCATTCTGTGCCAAACACAAAGCAAGTTGCTGATGGTATAAATATAGACCAAAAAAAAAAATCATGGTTCTTATTGTCTCAACATTTATAATCTGGTAGAGAAAACATACAAATAAAGCAATACAGCGTAAGAGCTGAGAAATGAGGAATGCAAAGTTTCGTGAGAGTTGATGGGAAGGGCAGGGATCCTGAACTCAGGGGTCAGAAAAGGCTTCCAGAGGAAGAGCCATCTAAATAGAAATCTAAAGGGTAAATAGGAATTAATGAAAGTCTGGATGAGAAGTTTTTGAAGCAAAGAGAATAGCAGGTGTGAAAATCACTCTATTAATGACCGTAAGCACCTAATTGTCCTCACTCTACTCCTGTATCCCTCCACTAGAGTCAAGGCAGATTTGTCTGACTAGTGCACTGCTATATATCCACCTCCCAGAAAAGTACATACATGGTGATATATAGTAGGAGCTCGATAAGTATTTGTGGAATGAATGAATAAATTCATTCATTATTTCTGCTTTCCAGCTTCCAACGAGGAACTCTGGTTAGTTCAAAGGGATGATTAGACTTGAGAGTTTGCAGCAGTATCATTCATGCAGGTCACACATCTCCTGCACAAATAATGGTACATGATATCCTCGTTTTCATATCAAAATCTATAGCTTACTTTTCAGTGCTATTAAAGGACAGACAATATTAATTACCCTTGTTAAGAAAAAAATGATACTAATATCTCTTATCTTTCGATGAGCCTTATACACTGCCATTAAGATTCACATACAGATAGGGCTGTGGGTGTGTTCATATGTTTGTACACTAATATTTAGTGCAGTTTTTCAGCTGTCTTTCTGTTGCAATCATAGAAAAAAATGCAGAAAAGGAAGCACCAATGTCTTAAATACTGGTCAGAAAAATTTGCATTCCATATGGGTTAAAAATCCAATGATTTCAGCTGTAGAATCAAGATAAAATTTTGCCAGGGTTCCCAAGTGAGTCCTGAAGTCTTTCTGAGGAACGACAGTAAAATATTGAATTGAAGTAAACCTAACATTAAAGGTGACACGAGCTCCATTCTGGGAATCAGTAATTCTGATGCAAGTACAGCGGAAATTGTGAAGCAACCAGTCCACTTCTAGCATCTTTCCATTTTCCCCTTCAGAAACTTTGCCTTCTCACTGCAAAGCCAACAACCCCCCTATCTTTCTCCACTTAGTGTTGATCCTTTCAGTCAATACCCCAAGCTCTCTTCTCTCTTTATGCTCTTCTCTTCCAGCAGGTCAGCTAGATTGGAGGCTTTGGTTCTGTGTATTTGAGATGTTCATGAAAGACAGTCTGACCCAGTAAAGAGCAGAGTTGAAAGCCCAGTTCAATGACCTACATGCTGCACAGTCTTGGACAAGTTACACAGGGTCTCTGAAGCTCTGATTCCTCATCAGCTATGATAGCGTGCTTTTAAAAGAAAAAAAAAAGAAAAGAAAAGTCCTAGTTGCTATCCCATTGGGAAAATGTAACCAATGATTCCACACTGGAGAGTTAATGATTAAAATATTCAGTGCATCCTTCCAGAAATATTCGTAAGTTCAAAGGACAGAAGGTCAAAGGAAGAAAATGCTTACAGGAAATTTTCTGGCATCAGTAAAGGAATAGTAGGGATAAAGACTTTCCCAGAGAACTTTAACCCACACTTCATGGGCAGCTACCTACTCCACCCATTCCAATGGTATAATGTGGTACACATAGAAGATGATTAAAAAACAGAAACTTCTAGATAATTAAATAGTTCGAGCCCAATTATGGACTAGGATTGAGGCCAGAGCTAAACATATTTAAAGTGCTTAATTAATTTATAACTGAATGAAATTGACCAATGCCTTATATATTTTAGAGTGCAGTTGCCTTTTCAGTATATTTGTATACTTTCAATAGTGCTAGTACTTTTTATTAATTGTACAATATATTTTTTTCTCATTTTTACATCTCTGAAATCAGGATATTGCTTACAATTCATTGAAATTCATTAGTCTCTTTCTTCATTCTTGGTGGTAGATATTTGATGAATCCAGATTCACTACAATGTTAACATAAAATTCCAGACGATGAACACTCGGTAAGTCCTGATTGAAAGTCAAACACCAAATATGCAGTTTAGTGAATCAGAGTGATCTGTTTTATTTCTTGAATATTTAGTCTCTGAGCATCAATTTTAGGAATATTGAAAAAGACAACTTTGAATAAGGTACATTTGTAAAACAGAGTACACTTTAAACTGCTTAATGCCCAACCTCCAATAGATTAAGACTTCATTCAAGTTTTATAAAGAATTACATCCTAGGAGTTTTTTGTTGTTGTTGTTTCACATGTTTTTATTTTTAAATGAGATAGGTACTTATAAAAACTAAAGTGAATACATATATTCATATTATTTTGAGATTTGCTCATACTCCTTGAAATAACTATATATTCCCTAGGTCATCACAAAACCTGAGTTTAAAAATCTCTACCCCTTGTTCATCAATATTTATGTTAAAATGCCCAAAGTATTATGATTCCTTTAAGCAATTTCTGACTATTTATTCTACCTGGATGATTTGAGGGAAATTATAAAAGGAAGAGAAGAGAGAGAGAGAGAGAGGAAAGAAGGAAGGAACAAAGGAAGGAAAGAACGAAGAAAAGAAGACAGGAAGGGTGAAAGAAAAAGAAGGAGGGATTGGAGAGGGAAGAAAGGAAGTCATACATTGATAATGTAAGCACAGTAAGTAGATATTTAATTTTACAAATCTTCCATTACTGTGGGTTAATGTAAACATTGCCTAGTGAGCCCCCATGGGGCTCTAATTAATATTCTTGTATAGTGCAATGGTCAGTGTTGACTCTCATGTACTCATATTCTCTAAGAAATTACTTGTTCTTAAAATGACATTTCTACATCTGTGAAGTCTCAAAAATCCTTATTACCTTGATGTGGTTTGGTTTTATATTTCGACTTGCCATCTTAGGTGCAGTTATCCACAGATCACACCAGAATACATTATGTAAAAACATATAACATAAAAACTCCAGCCTCACACCACAATTTCACACATTTGTGCCAAAGACAACTATCAATTCCAGATGCTCTAGTCTATAATATTCTCTGTAGTCATGGAAAATACCACACTGGACAGACCTGTAATACCACAGATTCTCAAATTTAAACTTTCTGAGGTCTCAGAATGATAAAGTCTGACAAAAATCTTCATTGCTTATCACAACAACCAATATACCTCTTGTATTAAACAATTCTTATGTGAAAGAAAAGATTTGGATAGAAGCAGGGATAGGTCAATGAATCCAAAGAAATTTCAAAAGCAGAATAAAATCCTCTAACTATTAAAACAAGTATAGTGTTTTTACTTTCCTCTAAAGCTTGACCATAGACAACAAATACAAAATTGACAAAAATCTATTTTAGAATATTTCCTTTACAAAAGACAGTGGAAACAGCCCAAATGTCCATCAACTGATGGATAAACATAATATGGTATTCCTGCAGTGCAATAATATTCAGCAAAGAAAAAAAAGAAATGAAGTAGAATACACGCTACAACATAATTGAACCCTGAAAATATTTTGTTAAGGGAAAGAAGCCAGTCACAAAAAAAAAAAACATATTATATGATCCCATTTAAATTAAATGTCCAAATCCATAGAGACAGAGAGTAGGTTAGTGGTTGCCAAGGGCTGGGGTTAGGTGACAGATAGGGAGTGACTGTTCATAGGTACTGGGTTCCTTTTTGGAGTGATGAAAATGTTCTAAAATTAGATTGTGATGACAGTTGCACAACTCTGCATATACTGAATTGTGCACTGTACACCTTAAATGGGTGAGTTGTATGGTGTGTGAGTTATATATAAATAACACAATAGCTCAAAGTCAAAACTTTTTCCTCCTAGTAAATGGCAAAATCTCTCTCCATGGAAATGGAAATGCCCTGCTGCAAGCACTAAAAAATGAAAATTTGCAAAGGAAAGGGGAGTCCTCAACAGAAATTGACTACAGAGAGAGCTTAAGATGGAGGCAGTTACTCCATTCTGTTATCTGTGTTTAACCAAATGATTCCAGTAGCCTGGAAACAGATCTTGGGGCCTGAGTAATGTTGCCAGATAAAATATAGGAAGCTCAGTTAAATTTGAATTCCAGACAATGAATAGATTTTTTAGTATAAATGATCCCAAATATTATATAAATATTAAATTAAATATTATACAAAGATTACATATCGGGGGACATACTTATAGTAATATACTGTCCATTGTCTGCTTGAAAATCAAATTTATCTGAGTGTCCTGTACTTTTTGTTGTTCTTATTAAATCTGGCAACCCAGGCTGGTAATTTTTCTTAGAGTGCTTTCTTACCAAAAGCTCAGAGCAGTTGAAAACAAAACCAGGGTAGTTCTAGATAAGAATGGGGGTAAATTCTTCAAACCTTATGCCACCTATTCATTTATTTAATGTTTTGTATGCTCAGTTCTAGGGATACTATAGTGAACAAAATGGACTCAGAATGTAAAATCTGGCAAAAGAAGACAGAAAAGTGAAAACACAGTAACAATGTAGTATGATAAATGATCAAGGATGACAAGCGGACAGCAAGCAAAGAGGAAAAGTAAGATGAAATGGGCAAAGGCTCAGGGATGAGTAAGACAATGGCTAGCCCAAAGAAACAAAGAAGTTCCCTATGAAAACAAATACAGCAAGGGCAGAGTAGAGAAGAGATTCTTTTAAAGAGAAATAAAGAAGCCACACCATGGAGCATTGCGGGTTTTTTTTAATATTTTATTTTTTAAAGCAATTTTAGGTTCACAATAAGACTGAGCACCAAGTACAGAGAGTCCCCATATACCCCTGTCCTTATACACGTACGGCCTCTGCCACTATCAACACCGGGCACCAAAGTGGTAGATTTATTAATGGATGAACATATATTGACACATAGTCCAAAATAGTCCACACATATTGACACATCACCCCAAGTCCACAGTTCACTCTTGGTATTACATTCTATGGATTTTAACACATGTATAACACCATGTACCCACCATTTTGGTATCAAACAGAATCTTTCACTACTCAAAAAATCCTCTGTGCTCTGCCTATTTATTCTTCCCTCTCCCTTCACCCCTGGAAACCACCTATCTTTTTTTTACCCTCTCCATCATTTTGCCTCTTTCAGAATGTTACACAGTTGGAGCCATACAGTATATAGCTTTTTCAGATTGCCTTCTTTCACTTAGTATTATGCTAAAAAGGTAAGTTTCTTCCATATCTTTTCATGGCTTAATAGCATATTTCTTTTGAGTGCTGAATGGTGTTCCATTGTCTGGATGTACCCACGAAAGATTTTTAAGTTATCTTAAAAGTACTGACTTTATACAGGAGAGAAACAAGATGACATTGTTTATTATTTTTTTAATCACTTGGGTTCTAAATTGGAGAATAGACTGGAAAGTATCCATTAGAAGATTATCATAGTAATTAAAAAAAGAAATGATGGTGGCCTATAATATTGTGTTAGTGGCTGGGGAAAGAAGTAAGCATAATCAAGGCATAACAGGGAGCAGAATCCTAGGACTTGGTGATTGATTGGTTATAATGACAAAGGACTGGGAGGACTTATGTAAAAATCTCAGGTTTCTGGTTTGGACTGTAGTATCATTCATCGAAGTGATGAACACTGAGGAGAAAGGAGAAACTTATGGAGAAACACATTGAAATCATTTGGGAGCATGGTAAACTTGAATCATCTCCAATATATGTATGTGAGGGGCAATGTCCAATATTTGGTATATTAATGAAGAACTCAGAAAGGAGGTCTAACACACAGATGTAGTTTGGGCAGGTATCATCACAGAGAGAAAAACTGAAGCTTGGATGTAGATGAGCTCATCCAGTGACTTTGGTTAGGGTGAGAAAAGGAGACAGGTCAGGACAAAACCCCAAAGAACATCAACATTTAAAGATCCTGCAGAGGAAGTAACAGCAGTAAGAGATGTTCATGAGAAACCAGGAATTGATAGCAGCACAAAAGTAATGGAAGAGAGTTCCAGAAAGTGGGAGCTAGTTTAAAGCTTTTAGAGACATTAGAAGATTGTAATATTCTCTCTGACATAGGAATTTAAAACCTAAGTATAGATTTTATATATGTATATTAAAACTATCATATATTATATATCTGTCCATTCATGAAGCACGAAACCAACATATATGCTGAAATTAAAATAGTTTCTTTCTAAACTTCTGATGGAAGAATTTAGGTAAATTCACTGAAGCTAATTTTCTTCAATTTTTCTTTGATTCTGCAAGAGCCTCAAGCATATGTTTAGTCTACTTGTTGGATAATCTTATTCTGTTGACAGGGGACAGTTAGTATTGAATGTTCAAGACAATAAAATAAAAACTTCAAGATACCTATTGCATTTAGAGACAAGGACAATGATAAACTTGACAAGTTTAAGTGAAGAGATGGATCAGAATTCAGAATAAAATGAGTTGTAGACTAAGTAGGAAGTAAGTCAAGAGGAGGGAAAGGGGGACAAGTGAAATATACAACCCTTTCAAGATATTTGGCTCTAAAACAAAAGAGAGTTAATGCAAACCCTGGACTGGAATGTGAAGTTACAAGATGGGAGAGTCTTGAGGGTGTTCAAATATTAATGGGGAAACACTGAGGTCTGGAGAAAGATGGATTCTAGGCAAAGATGCCAGGTCAAGCCTTAGAGAATGAGTCCTCCTACTTTGTGAGAGAAAGAGGAAAGACAAGAAAGGGTATAATTCCTACCAAGTTTCATGGCAGGCAGTTAAAAAGTGTTTTATCTGATAGCTTTCTTTTCTCAAAAAATAGAAGGGAAAATAATAGCCAGAGCATAAGCAAAAAAACCAAAACAAAACAAAACAAAAAAAATGGAGCAGTCAGTGGTTGCAGGTAAATGGTCGAGAAATGCACTGCTGGGAAAAATGAAGATATTGACTAAGAACCCACTGTACCTGGGAAAGAAAGATAGTGGGACAAAAAGTTAGTGATAAAACTCTTCTTTTCACTGAGTAGATAGATATTTACATCAATGATAGAAATGTCTTCTTAACACCACTCCTGATGTATTATAAAGATGCAAATCAAAAGAACTCCATTTATAGAAGATAATCTCTCTTTCAAAGCAGAATACACCAAAATGAAAGTGCAGGAAAATCTATTGTTACCACCAAACTTACTTATAAATACAGAAAATCAGGTTCAATTTACTAATCATCTACAACTGCATTATCCATGGTTAGATGCTAGAAGCATTGATCTGAATAATCTAAAACAGCAGATATTCCAAAACGATTTAAATTGGGTTTTGAAAAACACAATTATTTACATTAAATTTACATTCCCAATTTGCCTCTTAGGCAAGTATTAAAATTAGTTTAAATTCTCTAGGAAAACACTCAGTGATATCAGGGTTAGAAGAATATTAGAGTTTAGAGAGAATCCCAGCAGAGACTAAGAGTTAGCAACAAATAATAAAGAAAATGAATCCCCCCAATTTTATTGAGACAAATGTCTAACAGACCTCCTTTTTCAATGATAAAATAACTTATAAATGACTTCTAAATTTTCAGAAGCAGAGCTGTTCCCATTCTCAACCTGATCCCACTCCTATCCTCAGTTGAATTTTAACTTAAACTCTACATGCATTCCTTCCAACACCGAGGCTTATATAAATTACCTCTGAATAATAAATAGTCCCACCATGCATGTATGGTGGAGATCTAGCCAGGGCACACGGACAACTCCAATCTAATCATACTCTCCTCACATCCTTCATCCATTCACTCGTTCATTCGATCAATTCATTCAATCTCAGTAATACAAGTATCAAGAACTTGCTCTGTGTCAGGGACTGTTTTAACTGCTAAGATCACACAGATCAACAACAGAGAAGACCTAAGTAAATTACCAGTTAAAAACTATGGGATGTGATTTATGATAGTTGTACACCATATAAGGGAAAGCAGTGGACCACCCACCTAGGTCTGGTTGTTAACTTATGAGCACTTCCCAAGGAAGACGGCCTTAGATTTCTTAAAGAATGAGCAAGAGTTAATCATGTGGAGAAGGAAAGAGATCAAGAAGGATAATAAAGGCAAGGGATCAGCTTGGACAAGGAAGCAAGAGATATCACAAAGCATCTTGGCAGTTTCCCCTGATGGAACCCAGAGGTCAGATCCTAGAGAGATTTGTTTTCCAGGATAAGAAGTGGATCATATCCTGGAGATTTCAGGAGTTTCTTGTTGGAAGCTTTGGAATGACATGATGAAATTCACATCTTAAAACACTTTTTCTAGAAATTGGGTTTTGAAAACATAATTATTTACATTAAATTTGCATTCTTAATTTACCTCATTTAGGCAAATATTAAAATTAGTTTGAAAGCTCTAGGAATTCAAGGGATTGCAAGCATTTGGGGAAAACTTGAAAGCAGAGAGATGAGCTGAGGAGTCTGATTGGGACAGATGCAGTGGAACTGGAGGAGCTAAAACCCAGAAATATTAAAGGGGCAAAAAGGAGGCAATAATAGGAGGAAAGAGCCTCAGCTAATTGTACAGTCACCAGTTTGGACATGAAATAGATTTTGGCATTACCGCTCACTAAGTTAGAGATTGCAGTAGGAGAAAAAAGTTTGGGCAGATAGCAATGAGTTCAGATTTAGACATGCCTAGGTTGGACTACCTATGGGCAAAGCCTTCTAGAGATAACCAAGGAGTCAATTAATTAAATAGGTCTGTCACTCAAAAGACAGGTCAAAGCTGAAGATATGGACTGGGAGTCATTATAATATAGGTGATGGTGTGTGGATGAAAGTATAGGCCATTGAGAGTGGAACAGAGAAAAGCAAAGAAAAAACCATAGAGACCTATACACATTATACCAACTAAAAGACTGAGTATCCTACTAGTGGAGCTGAAAAGGCTTCACCTTAGAGTCAAAGCAGAGGTCAGCCTTTCTTTATCCTAACCAACTTGCTTTGATTATTGTACTCAAATAATTCTTAAATGTTTGGCTTTTTTCTTGATAAAGTATGTTTCCTAATCTCTACTTATAAATAAATGTTACTTTCCAAAAACAGCTCCTGAATTAATATTGACTTTTTTTTGAATTCAAGAACCTGAATCAACCTACAAATAAACTAGCATTTACATAATATTATGCTCATTGACATTCATTGACCGAGAAGAGTAAATTTTACTGTAGAATACATAATGGTAGATTACAAATGAATTATTATAAATTCCTGCCATTTCTATAAGAAAATTCCTGCCATACAATGTTACTTTTTTGTTCTTCCCAACAAAGAGGAGAATCTTTACTACTTGAATCTTCAGTTGCTTGGGGGCTTGGGGTTTTTCACCTGGTTTGGTCAAAAAGCCAAACATGAATGTGAGCAGAAACTTGAAAAGGACTTGTACCTTGGAACTTGCCCTCTCTTGCATCTGGAAAACTTTCCACCACCATATGAAGACACCCAGGTTAACTGGAAAATGAGAGACCAGCTGAAGGGCTCTAGACGATCTGACCTTCCAGCTGACAGATAGGCAATTGAAATGATCCCAGACCACCCAGCTTCAGAAGAGCTGCCTGTTGCCTGTAGAGATGAACAAAGCTGGCTCAGAATTGAAGAGTCTCCCAGCTGACCTGGAAAATTGGGAGCAAATAAAATGATTATTATTTTCAGTCACAAAGTTTGGGCATGATCTGTCATGTAGCAATGGATACCTGACATTACCACCTTCCATAGATAAATAAGAAATCATTTAACTTCTTTTAAACAATTTGTAAATTATAATCTCTGATATAGGAAGAGAATCTCATAACAGGCAAATAATTCCTCCTCTATGACTTTAACCAGAAAAACATACTCCACGTAAACATGTTGTAGGGTGCATAGACTTATTCTAAATCATGACAAAAAAAATCATGACAATTAAGTATCTTGAATTTTAATCACAGTTAATAGCATGGATTAAGTCTGAGTTGAGGGACAAGCAGCTCTAACAAGTTTTTACCCTGTAGCTATGTTTTTAAACTTCATAATTGTAATGACACACAATAGGGTTTTTATCCAAATAGCACTTACTACTTACCTTTTATTTTATTTTTGTTTAAAATTCAATAGATGTTCTAAAAAACCACTTTGAGAAAGATGCTATGGACATTTCTCAAAAAATCTAGGATGAAAAGTTTTCATAACAGATATTAATATTGCCACAGAACATTGAAAGAATTCTTTTAAAGTGCTCACCTCACAAGGTAAACCTAGTTTCCTTACGATAATTATGGACAAAGTTTATGAATTTATCACCCATAATCCCTCCAGTTTAGGAGGTACTTGATATGCATTTGTGAAGTGAGTGAATGAAAGGCGAATAGGCCAATTGCATTGTTTCAGGCTTTATTATATGTGGTTGTTATACTTCAGGAGAAGTGACTTGACCCATGATATACCTGGCTTGGTATAATTAATGAGTTATTCATAACAAGGTTCTACTGGTATTGTACTCATAAATGAAACCACACTAATGACTCTGAAAGAATCATCTCAACTAAGAGACCCTCTACATGACGTTAGATATACCAATTTTGACCCAGTGCCATAATAGATTGTATTCTTCGTTTAAAAGAGCATAATTAGCCAATGTAACTTTATAAGATGTGTATATAACCATAGACATAGATATATAAAATGTATATTTATCTTTATAAAGAGATACCAGTGCTGGCAATTGCTATCTGAGTGAACAGGTGTGGCTGAAAAAACCTTTGCCTGACCAACTGTTCTTTCCACACTGTACATAAAGGCTATTCTATGGTTGGCAGCTGTAGCCCTATTTGCAGAGCCCACAGCTATTTCTGACTTCACAATTTAAAATCTTACTCTACCCATTACCATTATTCATATATAGCTATACTTCTAACTGGTGCAAGTAAAGATGTTCTGCCTATTATCACTTGGAATTCCAGAATTACACTGAGTCATATGAGGTTTTACTTCGTGGGATCTTTACAGTTTTTCTTCTGCTCACTCTGTTTTTGCTTGCCACCCTCCAGCTTGGCAAACAGCATCTATGTGCGTCTCCTATTGTCATACATTCTTCACACCTGCCCAGTCCCAGAGCCTCATGCTTCCGTGAGAATTACATACACTGTCTAAGTTTAGGTCTTCGCTATCTGACTTGCCTACTTAAAGTTAAACATCACTCACATCAGAGGAACTGGTGCATCTATTCAAGAAATAATTTATTAATTTACTTAGTGCTTCTTTATTGAAGCACCAGGCTGTTTTGAGTGCTAAGAATACAGCAATAAACAGAGCCATTTCCACAATGGAGCTTTTATCACAGTGATGCACGTTGCTCTTCCCACCACAGAGCAGAGAGCACCCTCTCCTCTTTAGTATCACTTAGACAACTCTTTTACACCTAGTAAGTGCTTAATATGTGCTGATAAGACAGGTCAGAAAACCTTATTCTAAGCTAGCGTCTGAATACACACATACACACAGAGAACACACACACATACACCTTATCTGCCAGTAAACGTCAGAGAACACTGGACCTCGGATTGATTCCACTTTTCACTCCTGCTTCCTGGATCTCATGGATCTCCATACTGCCTAGGTAACAAAAACTATGATGGCTTTTAGATATCCTTTGCTAATCAAAATAAATAATTGGCTACCACTGCTCTCTCTCTCTTTAAACTGGAACATTATTTTGATCTTCCCAGATTTATACTAAGTCTGTGGTCCTATATTTATTCTGCCAAGATTTCCATATATTTTATTAGCATTTTTCCTGAGTGCCTCAACTGTATTCTAGGTGGGCAAGTATAGGTTTATGACATAGATTCATCATGGATTCATCCATTCAACCATGGATTCATTCATGTATGGGGATTAACACATTGCCTCATCTCTCCTCCATGTTTTTCAAACTCCAATATTCATCAGCACACCCACATCAGATGGAGATAAGACATATAATAAGTGAGTAGTAAACACAAACACAAGTCTAGCATTCACTTAACTTCTTTCTGTGCCCTATGGTCTCAAGCATTTTAGAAATTTATTGGCCAGTTGGTTATTTATGCCCAAGACATGTTTTAGGAAGCCCCCAAAGGGCTACTGATATAATCCTACTATAAAAGTTGTTTGACAAATCCAAACTATAACCAACTTCCTATTTCTTCATAAAAATTCTCCCCCAAAACAGTCTTGTTGATTATTTTATTTTATTATCCAAGTTTCATCTCCCTTTGGACTTTTATAAATACTATGTTATTTCCCAGCTTTTGCCCTCTTTTCAATCTAAATGTTGAAGTGATAGGGAAAGAAAAATCAAAAACATGTTAATAAATGACAAGTATACTCCTGAATAACTAGCAATAGGGATTGTGTGAATTGCCTTGTATCATGATCTGGACAGTAGAATGCACATAAATATGTTTTCTTTTAATTACTTGACCATGATCTCTAGTCCCTCAACACTCAAACCATGGATCAATCATAAAACAAGCGTTTCTTTTGCACTTCCTATGTTCATAGTAATATGCTAGTTCCTGTGAAAAGTTAAAGATTATTATCCTCCCCCAAGGATCCCTAAAATTTTAATGAAGAAAGAAAACCAAATAATGAGATACATCGCCAACAATAAAATGGCATTTCATACTATTGGTTTTTTTTTAATTTTTTTTTTAAATTTATTTATGATAGTCACAGAGAGAGAGAGAGAGAGGCAGAGACACAGTCAGAGGGAGAAGCAGGCTCCATGCGCCAGGAGCCCGACGTGGGATTCGATCCCGGGTCTCCAGGATCGCGCCCTGGGCCAAAGGCAGGCGCCAAACTGCTGCGCCACCCAGGGATCCGCATTTCATACTATTTTAGAAAAATCACAAATATCATTAAAAAGGCAAAGTCAGTAGTTATTTTGAATAATGCCACTAATTAGCACTAAAGGATAAAGACAAGAAAGTCTTCACCTCCCCAAAGCAGAGCCTAGAAAATTGCTTTCCCAACTTCCCTCAAAGCTAGAGTATGAGCTCATGACCTGTGCCTCTCCAGTGCACCTCAGATGAGATAGGAGTTTGGAAGAGAATGGAGTGAATGAAAAAATACAGTGTTAAATCGTTGCTGGCAAAGGGGTAAAGACAGCCAGCCTTCAGATGCTGTGGTAGCAATAGTCCTACTTCCTAGTGTCCCCTGCAACATTCAGAGCCCACAGCAAGTTGCCCCAGTGGAGTGGTACAGCATTGCAGTTTGAAGATTGTTTAGGAATACAAGGCCATCAAGCTGGACTCTCCAGCCATTGCAGAGACTCCATGATGTAAAATTTATCCTTTTGTAAATTTCTTATTCTGCTTGAAATAGTATAGTTGGATTTTGTTGTTTGCAACTACAAACCTTAACAAAGACCAAACTGGTGAAAGCACAATATGCTTGCTTCTTGAATCAATATCTGTCTAGAAATAACATTATATATATAATGTATATATATTATATATATATATACACTAAGTTCAGATCAAGTTTTAGAAAGCTAGAGAGGAAAGCAAGTGGCAAAAGGATACACAGAGAACACAATAAATTTACTATAATAGTGTAATATGCTGAAGGTGCTGATGCATATTTGACAGGGAGGTACATTCCCCTGCACCTGGCTGCACTCTTCTCCTTTCTCTACACTTCTTTGTGCCCTGACTTTTGTCCTCTGCATCACTGCCCCCACACACACACAACACACATACTTTCTGGATTTCAGTTGGGTTCACTGAGGAGCATCATGAGGCAGGAGTGTGAGATCAGAGAAGTCCATCCTCTTGGCTCCCTCTATGCAAGGTTTCATGGACTGAAGCCTACTTTGACCAAAGGGCTGGGTTCTGTTCAGGCAGCCTTATTCTCCCCACATCCTTTCTTTGATAGTTTTCCTTAGCTCTTGAAATTCAGAGATAGGAGTGGAACTCCAAAGCCACTAGTCTCAAGATACTACTTCAGTTTCCTGAAGTCTATCACACCTTTGCAAAAAGACTCTTTACAAACTTTCTTTCATTTACCCAATGGAATGTACTATCATTTTTCTGCTGGGACCCTGACTAATAAAGTAATATATATTATTTGGGGGTACATCTCGTATAGAACTATAAAGACCTGCAGGGAAAGGAGAAACACAACATTCCAGAAAGTGGTTAACCCCAGGGGATGGGAAGAGAGGGAAAGTAATTACATTGAGGTTTGGTGATCAGGAGAAATAAAAATAGCAACTATATGTGTAATGTATATCATATAAAAGCTTATTCTTAAGCTGGGTCATGAGATCATGAATGTTTTCTATAGCATTCTTTATGATTTTTATGTAAAAGTCCATAGTTTAATAACAATTCTTCACTCTCTTAAGGATATCTTTCAGTGAATAAAAATCTTAATTTTAATATAATTTGATTTATCAAGCTTTTCTTTTATGTTTAGGAATTTTTACATCCTATTTAAGAAATCTTTGTCAAAATGTCAACATAGAAAATTCTGGCCCCTGTTCTCCCTACAAATAAAAACAATTATATAAGCTATCCATAAATAAAAATTTATAGAAATAGAGAGTAGAATGGTGATTACCAGAGGCTGGGGTGTAGAGGTGAAAATGGGA